AGACCCCTTCATTTAGAGTGCGTGCATCTTAGCATTCTGTAATTTTCTGCCAGGAAATCAGCTGAGAATAAGGGACACAAATATTTTTGTATTATATGAGTGAAAATATATAATATATGTTTCATGTATAAGAAAGTACTTGAGTACAATAAATATAATAATTTTTATCCACCTTACTATTAAAATATTTTGACCAGAGCCTCATAGATCCTAACCCTGGCACTGCATGGATTTTAGGATGAACAACTTCACCCCCATATTCAATAATCACATATTTAATAATGGTTTTGTACTGCACGTCTGCACGTAGGTATTAATATAAAAAAACAATTAATTAACCATAAATGGCATGAGGGTGCCAATTTCAAAAGCTTCCCTCTTCAAATTTGCATATGGTAAAAATTTCACGATTTGACGCAAGACACCGATAGATAATTAATGTACGGCGTGATGCGTCTAATAGGATACTCGTTATTTGTATATACCTGCTTACCTAATTATTATTTTGCATGGAACATAGTTAAAATAATTTTTGTTGTGATTAACCTTGTATTAAATTTTCAGGTCAAAGAATTTAAAACTTTAAAATTAACTCACAATATCCAAGAAGTTATTTTTGTCGATTTGTTGATGTGATTATGTTAATATTTCATATTTGTGTGCACCTAAGGTCTAGTAATATTGTTTGTCGCATATTAAGATTTAAGGTTATATATTTGCCTTTCTCACAATGTCCTCACTGGACCTCGGCATATTTTTCTGAATAGGTATTTCGATTTTCGATGTTAAAAAATATCAATTTTCGAATGAGTATGAGTACGTAACCTAGTTATTTACTTACAACTTAACAAGTATTTAAAGCACATAAAATCTGAGTGGAGGGGCACATAGAAATAATATTAGAACATACTCTCCTACCACTAGTGTCTACTAAACATTTTCTTTCTTCTTCAGACATTTCCCTCCAAAAAAAGATTTGAACATATACATATATTATAAACAATTAAAAACTATATTATGTTACCTATTATTATAATTAATTTTAATTTAAGTAAAACACATTATTTATTATTATATTCATAAGCCATAACTAAACCAATTTGTTTCAAAAATATCAGTACATTTGGACATTTAGGACGTTGGATTGAAACATAAAGGTATATAATATTATCATACGTAGTAGTTATAGTCAACATACTGAAATGAGATGAACAAAAAACAATAACTCGATTATTTTTGTCTTAATTGTTGTATAACAGAATTGTCGAAGGATATTTTACCTGAAGTTATAGCCATAACATATTTTATTTTGAACTCATCTGTTTATTTTTACCTGATTATAATATAGTGGGCGAGTTTTTAATTCTTCGTAAATTACATTTTACAGAATCTCGTATTGTAATTATGCTTCGTCAGAAATACTAATTGTTTCTAGAAGTTATGGCTGATCGGCTCCCGAATTGTTTTTTAGGCGATATTTTTATATTATTTATACTTTTAATCTATTCCTCTATTCCTTGTTGACTACCCCTAAATACCATGTGAATGTTTGGTGGATTTTATTCATATACTATATATTTCAATTTGTGTACAAACTTTCAATTGTTACACCAAAGGGCAAAGGTTCTTATTCTCAGGTTTTGTCAAACCTGTTTTTGTGTATAAATTTCCGTTTTTTGATATATTTTTTTTTGTTTTCCAAAGCTCTTTTAATAACTACAGGGCATTTTTTACTTTCCACCCTTTAAAATGCGGATAAGATTCACTTATCTACCAGAAAATATGCTGAAGTGCCTATATAATCGATGTCTTTTACTGGCCCAAAATATTATGACAGATACAAAAAATTAAAAAGAAACACACATCATTGTAAAATCAATACATTCCACTAAGAATCTAAAAAATATAGAAGTTATTATATCTAACATTATATTATACTAGTGTAGTAGTGTGTGTAGTAGGTACTGTGTGTGTATGTGACTAGACAGTGAACATATTTATTTGGTAATTAATATTAAATTATAAAAAACATATAGGTATAACGCACAATAACTTGTGAATTCGCATAAATATGTATTCTTTAATTAGGTACAGGGCGATTCAATAAACATGGTCACCACCTTTTTTTTTTTAATAATATAGTCATTAGTTTTGAGTAACTTAACTTAGTGAACGAAGGATAATATAGGTCTATGATAATGGGTTTGGAAGATTTGGAGGTTATGGTGATTTGTAAATTTTAGTAATTTATATTAATCTATCAATATTCATATAAATTTTAAAAATGGTCTAAGTATAATAAATATTAAATACAAGATCCGATTATATTACATCTATTTTATATTTTTGTAAAACAATAACAAATATGTAAATGACTGAAAAACTACTTTTTCGAATTTCGGTTTTTGAATTAGGTACATAATATTAAAAAAAAAATATATCCACTAAATGATTTACAATAAAAAAAGTAGTATTCTCATTTGAAAAACAGAACTTTGTATCGCCACAAAAATGTTCTTCGGTAATCAATATTCAATAGTACAAAAAGATCTCAATAATTTGAAAATATGGCCTTTATAAATAAAAGTAGGTACCTATATTTAAAAATTTAAAAAGTTTGAGTATGTATGAAATATAAATTTATCATTCATACCTAATGAAATTAAATAATGAAGGTGAGCATGCTTGGTGGATCACTCTGTATATATTCAATGTGGATAATCGTACTTAAAAAAACAAAATAATAAATACAAACAACAAAACGCTGTGAAGAAATAATTAGTCAAATCTGAATAATTATGAAATATTCAAAATAGTATAATCTGTTTACTTTTGAGAAATTAATTTGGTAAACAAATTTCAAATAAAAACAAATATTATTTCCTGCTTACGTTTAAAATACTAATTAATGGCGTCGACTGTATTACTATGTGCACGATTGGAATGGCTTTATTTAACAGCAATATGTTCTAAACTATAATGAAAGCATGGGCGCAACTTGGGGCATTTTTCTGGGGAGGAAGGGCTAGAATTGTATCGGCAGCACAAATTCTGATGGTTAATATATTAAACTAAAATATGATTAAAAACTGGGGGAATACGGATAAAACTGGGGACCCTAAATGCGCCAATATATGAATGAAAGGCCAGTGAAGTCGATCTATTTAACGGACCCACGATTAGTTTAAGCAACTAGATCAAAAGACAACAATTTTGTAAGAAAGGCGTATACTACAGACGTAAACACAACCCGCATACAATTAATGATAAATGATTTAATATATTTTATTGACATAGTGTTTTAATTTTAAATTCTAAGGTAACCAGTAGAACCAGTATTTAAATAAAAACTTTTAATTTAGACCGTGCTAGGCATGTGTCTACTTCGCCTAATAGTTAATCCGTCACTGATCATAGGTATATATTATTGTTTTTAACTTTCGTGGTACCCATATAAGTAATTATAAGTAATATCATAGAATTAATCTAAATGTTTTGAACATATTTTCAATGTTTACATAAAATACAATAATGTACGTAAAAGTTTCAAATCCCTACGAAAAATATTTTCGATTTGCAACAAAATAATTAAAATCGTTATACTTCGTTTGAATATTTAATGTCGTTCGAATTCGAACTTGAAATTCTTGTAAGAAACACCATGCCTTTGCATCCAAAATATTTTTAAATATCTATAATAACAATCTTATGAGGATTCTTCAATCCTTATATAACATTTTTAAGTTATTTTTATTCAGCAATTATTTTTGCTTTCGACAATTATAAAAAAAATTGTTACCTAATGTCTATAAATAGTTCAAAAGCCAAAATATTTTGAAAATTACACCATGTTTAAAGTATGCTAGTGCCTAGTATAAACAGTTGGTGAATATTTGAAGTATTTACGGTTATTAATTATTTATAAATTGCAATAAAATATCAAAATTGTTTGACAATAAAAAGTTATTTTAAAGGTTTAAGGATTTCTTGATTACCTACTTTGAAAAGTACACAACATTTTTAATTTTGTTTTCCTAAAAGTACCAACTAGATTCACTTTCCAACTAGAAAATAAATCGAAATTAAAAATCATGGCGAATTTTTTTACTTTATATCGTATACGCATTCACAAAAAAACACACACATTACTGTAAAATCAATATCTTATTATCGCTCAAAATATAATATTATAGAAATTTGGCTATGTTCTTAGTACATTTCGAGTGTATACTGTTTAAGTACCTAGTCATTCAGTACATTTTATTCATATATGATATTATTATTTATGATTATTGCAAAATAATGATTTGTTAAAGTAGAATTCAATGATAAATCATTTCTGGGCCGTATGATGGCGCATAGTTAGGAATTTAATATAGCGTAGGTGCAGACTTCATAGATGATAGTTGATATTTACAATGAGTTTTAATTTTAAAAAAATAAACAACAAATTGAATTTTTATTATAGTATTTTAGTATAATAATCTTTTATTTTTTTCTGTTATTGAATTAACTTTTTAATAAATCATGATTAACTGCACATTAATTTAGTGCATCAAAATCATTTAGTTTTTAAAAAAAAATTTTTAATTTTAAATCTAATTTATTGTTTTATCAAGTGGCATAAAAATCAAAATGCGCGGTATGTCGGCTTTCATCTACAGGTAGGTGTTCAGGTATTCTTATAAGCTCGTATAACTATTATTTGTATTGGGCATAAAATGCTGTATAGCTAAAATTGTACAGTGCACATACAAATCATATACGTAAGATTACGAATTCCTCACGTACCAAAATATAGTGACTTAATTATTTCTATATTGTTGCATATAGGTAGCTATAATACAAATCCTACACGACATTGATTGTTGATTTAAAAATTGTGTATATTTAAATTATTACAGTCTGCATTAAAAAAAACTATAGGTATGTGCAAATGTGTTGAGTGTAATCATGTCTTTGAATATTAAAAATTCCTTAAACAGATACTCGTTTTGCTATATATACAATAAAATGTCACTCACACTCTCAAATTCATTTGAGATTTACAAGTGAGTGGTGACCGAGAGACAATTCCGATAATAATCATGAAATTTGTGTTAGCGTTTTTGTTGTTGATCGGTATTTCTTGCCAAGTAAGATACAACTTTTTTTGTTATAACTTTTTATTTATTTTTTAATCTTTATTGAGATTTTAACATTGAAATATTATTATACATAGACACTTATCTTATATACAATTTTGTTATAACTTATTATAAATAAATACTTTATTTTATCGTCGAATTAGATTGGAAGAGGGGATTGTGCTCCTGCTGAAACAATAATTGGAGATTTAACAGAAAAGATGGGTGACGGTATACGTTATGTTAAAGATACGATTGCTGAATATATGCCAGACAGTAAGTACCTTTATAATTTATGTCCCTACGAAAATATTTCACTACCTATTCCAATATTCGAACATTTGACTATTACAAGACTCAAGTGCACAATGCTGAATGCACTTGAAATTTCAAAATAGATTACTGCTAGGCTAAATTATGTTCAAAATTTTAAAATAAGTAGCTGTACATTGTACATAACTCATAAATATAGGCATATTACGCAATGTCACAGTTTTTATGATTGCAATTAATATTTTAATAATACCTAGTATTAGGTCCACAACTATTAAAAAAATGGCAATACAACTCTTTTAGAAGTGGGTACAGTTATAGGATTAATACAAATCTGAATAATGCAATACCTATTTAGCATATAGGTAGGTTAACAAAAAATATAAAAATATCTACATTATAATATAAAAATAGGCAAACATACCTACCCATTTCTTGGCTTTCTACAGACCGTTTATGACTTAGGTCCACTACCGTAACTATATTAATCACCTCCATCTCTTCCTCTAATTTGTCAATATTGTTCTTAATTTTACTCTTAACAGTGGTAAGTTGTTGGCAATCTTATCTCCCCATCATTGTCTAGGACCTCCTCTTGCCCGATTGGTGTTTGGTTTCCATCTTAGCTGATGGAACCTTCTGACCTCCATAAATGATCGACCTCATCTCAGCAAACTACTACTGAAGACTACCTACAACAGTTTTCAAATTGTTTTCCATTTCCATCAATTTACACATAGTGCTCTTTAGGGTTTCTTTAATCTCTATACCATTATTATTAGATTATCAGGGCATGCTTAGTGCTATCACAGCAAGTTCTAGCCGGGTCGTTTTCTATTTTGATTCCTGCTACATCCGATGGGGTCTTCTGTCCTAACCGGGTACATTATTTTTTAATATACTCTCAAACATTTTTTTGGACTTTTTTTAAAAATTCAAACCTCGATAATGCCGAAAAATTCTTTTAATTTTATTATTTCAATATCTAAATGTTAGTACATAGTAGGTAAGTATAAGTAGTACATATTATAGGATAATCACTAAATATTAATTTCCAAATTGTTTTTTTTTTTAAATAAGTTGACATGCCTTCAATACCGGTACCCAGCATAATGAAGGATGGGTATGACAGCTTCAAAGATGGTGTGGGAGATATGGCTGAAGGAGCTGGACAAATGGCAAAAGATACCGTGGGTACTATCTCAGATGCATTGGATTAGGCATTACGTCATACTTAGAAATTTAAACAGTAGATAAATATTCATAAAAATACAAGCGCTTTGTTTAATATAATATAATTGTCTTGTTATTGGAAATATATAAATACCTATATTGAATAATTATTTGAATAACTATAATTTGTAACTGTAATAAAAATGTTACACAATTTAATCTACATTAGAAAAGTTCATAAATATTAATTTCAACAACATTATTATAATTGTATAATTAATACCTACAATAAATATTGAATTCTTAAACTGATATATTTACACTTAGTTCTTATAATAAAACAACCTATGCATATGCGGTCCTACGGGTGCAGCCTCTGCAGCCTGTGCTGCACCTAACATTACAACCATCACTTTATTTTATTGGTTGAAATCATATAACTATTCATAACTCATAAGGTAGATATTTTATAGTTTATATCTTTGTTATTTCACGATATATTGTTCTGATCATGAACTTAGTTGTTACTTTGTTAGTTTCAGTGTTGGATAGTAACGTAACAAAGAATACAAATTACTATTGTAGTAGCCAGTAACGCTGTAGTAATTGTATTATATATTATTGAAATTAACGCAATTGTAACGAAATTTCTTATAAAAGTAATTTCTTTGGAGCAACGTGTTATTTTCCACGTTATTAAAATAAGTTATGAATGTAGAGTCCATGACATAGACTAAGGGTTAAGATATTCGAGAAAAATTAAAAATCGGTAAAATGTATTTACTATTCTGAAAATTTTAGATAATAATGATGAATATTATAAAATATGCAGGCATGAGGCATCTTACGTATTTTATTCATGCGTATTACATCCATCCATTATCAATATAGTGTACCTACATAATTAATGTATTACATATACTACTATACAATTCATATATAATAATTAATAGCATACCTACTTCTAATTACATTCGTTATGGACTGAATTTGTCGTTAAATTTGGAAAAAGTAACAATTCATTACCCACTACTTTTTGAATGAAAAAGTAACATAACGTGATAAAAATAATGTCGGGAAACGCGAATTATGTAATTTAAATAAAAATATTTAATGTAATAAGTAGGTAACGTAATTAGTTTCTTATCGAAAGTAATTTACCCAACACTAGATAGTTGTTAGCTCGTAGATCTGATGATCAAGCCAGAATTAAAGGGAGGAAGACCCTAGGCTAACAGTGGTATTTATAGTCGATCACATCTATAATTATCATAATATGAAGAAAAACCAAGTTCGGAGGAAAGGAAATTACTAGTTTACTAGTTACAAAAATTATATATAATAGTCTAAAGTAAATTATGGTTCATTGATACTCAGTAAATCTAACTTCGTAGGTACACATTCCCAATACCCCTAACATTTAGAAATTAGCAATCTATGCTGCACGGCTGCACCTGAAGTAAAATCCTGGGACCGCCTATGAACCTATGATGATAATAATGTAAATAATATCTGCATTATTTACCTATGTGTCTGCAGTCTGCTGCTTATTTATTATGGTATCTACCTATTTAATAAACAAAAATATGTAATAGGTTACTCAATAGTTGTACCCACGAATAATATTTATAAATTACAACAAAATAATTAAAATTGTTATTCTTAGCGTTATTATGTTATTTAGTTCAAATATGAACTTAAAATGTTCCTAAAAAATAACAGTTGTTTTAAGTTACAGTTACTGTGCTTGCATAGTTTTTTGATTTTTGGTTATAGTATGAACTATTTAAGAGAATCTTTGATTTAAATTTTCAATTCTTAGCTATAAAAATTGAACATTTTATTTTTTTTTAACTTCTAAATAATTTGCCAATTTTCGTAATTTTGATGAATTTTGTCAACATTTTATTTTCTGACGCTAATAAAGTAATAATAAATTATTGTGGATTTAAGCTCAACTTTTTTTTAAATTTCCACTAACAACAACTTATGAGAAAAATTTTATTACATTTTCAAGTTTTTCGATCAAAAATTAAAAATTGTGTATCGAAAATAATATAAAAAACTAAAAAAACTCGAATTTTTCTTTTGCATGTATAATAAATAGCTCAAAAACAGTCAAAATATTTCGAAAATGTTTTCGTGCATAAAAATATCTTATATTATCATTCAGTGAAAATTTCTTCTATATATGGTTATTTTTTTTAGAGTTAAATAAAAAACAAAATCAATTTTTTTCGAAAAGTAGCTTTAAGTAAAAATCTCAGTTTTTCTTAATTTTTTGTTTTTCCTGGCACTTTTGAAAACTATTGGAAGATTAGGTTAGAGTAAGAGTATTAAGTACCAACTAGATTCAATTTCCTACCAGAAAATATGCAGTTGAAGAAAATCAAACCATTTTTAACACCGCAAAATGCGATGACACAAAAAAAACACACATCATTGTAAAATCAATACATTTATCGCTCCGCTCTGAATATAAAAACTATATTTATAAAAGTCCTTTTTATGGATTCCCAAAAATGCAGTCTACAGGTAAAACAGCTACTAGCTGATGTTATTCTTGGAAAACAATTTATTTATTTATGGGTAGATAAAAGTCTTATAATAAAGCAGTAGCAATACTTTAATATACATGGTGATTCACCAAAATTATATTTTCAAAATTCTTGAGATATTTGTACTACTTAAGGAGTGTCCTGTGAAGATACAAATTTCTGTTTTTCAGATGAGAACACCCCCTTAAAATTGTAAATTATACAGTGGATAATTTTTCTAAAAATGTTGACGTTCCATAATCAAAACTTGTACTAGTAGTTTTTGAGTTATTTAATTTTGTGGTCCAAGAATAAAATGTTCATAAGATCTGAGGTATATGATGTTTTGAAAATTTTGGTCATTAATCTATCAATATTAATTATTTGTAAAAATAACTCAAGTTAAAAAAGTGGGGTTCACACTTGAAAAACAGAAGTTGGTATCGCTATAGGACACTCTTTAAGTAGTACAACAAAATTCAAGAATTTGAAAGTATAGTCTTTAGTTATATAATATACATAAAAATAGCAAAATTCAGAATTAAATTAAATTTAGTATTTAAGAAAAAATAGGGGTGAGCATTCTTGGTGAATACCACTTGTATATAGTCAGTGGCGCCGAATGAAATTGAAACTGGCAGTTCAAATAATTTGATTCACCCACCTACCCTTTCAAAATTACCACCCATCGGGATTTTTTTTCAACAACAGCTGTAAATTAATATACAAATAAAAATAATGTTTTTTAATAATTGTTAATATTATTATTATTTGTAAATGGATTTCTTAACTCTTACACATAAATTAAAATAAACACTGTTTAACATAAATTTGATGAAATAGAATAGAGTATTAAGTGATAATTAAATAATATTTTGTAAACTAATTTGCCTTTAATAACGTACAAAGTCAAAATTATATATATAAAAAAAATTATTGGTGTACATATTGTTTATAATAATTTTGAAGATAGCTTTGCAAATTTATCAATGACATCAGAGTTATTTATTGAAAGATTTTCACATGATATTAACATCAAGTTTTCAAGTTTTCCTTGTGAGATTGTGCTACGTAGCCGATTTTTTTTATAATTTTAAGCTTTGAAAAGGTACGTTCAGGTGACGCACTTGTAACAGGCAATGTGGTCGCAATATGAAGTGCAGTATAAAGAGTTGGAAACACTTCTTTTAATCCAGACATATGGCATAATTTCAATAAATCTAATAAACTTCCTAAATTAATATTTTCATTATTGAAGTCAATTTTGTCATTAGAATCTGAATCTGAATCATCCATTTGTGTATTTTCACCAATATCCGACAAATTATCTTCATCACAAACTTCCACACTATAATCATTGTGAATACTTTTGGGTAACTTCATGATGTTAGAAAATTCAGAGAAATAATTGGCAAATTGCACATACTCTTTTTTTAACTCATCGAGTTGTACAAACTTTGAGTATACATCACAAAATGAATTAAAAGCATCCTTCGGTAAAGCAGAGTTTTTACATTTTATTTCATTTAAACGTTTAGTAGAAAAGAGAGAAATATCTTTTAGTAAATTTAGAGATTTAGAAGTAAATCTGTCATTAATAGCAGTGATAATTGTGTCTAAAGCAACAAAGTATGTTTTAATTTTAAATTCATATTTAGGATCAGTAATAGGGTTATCTTCTATTTGTTCACTTGGCAATCGTTTTTTTTTTCTTGGACGATGAATGGGCAAAGGTGAGAACTCCATATCTGAATTTTCAATGTAATTTTCAGTTTTTTTACAAAGTTCTGTATATGCATTGTCTTTTCACAATTCTTTTATTTTATCAGTTACCAAGTGTATACTTTTTATTGTACCTAATAAATCAATATTAATTGATTGAAGTATTCTGGTCAAAGGATCCACAATACAGAAAATATCAATATATAAAAAGGCAGTAAGAATAAATCGTTCAGAAAGAAAATATTCAATTAAACCAGTTGCTTTTGCTCCACTTTTAAAATCTACGCATCCTTCATCTTGCTGTATTTTTATTAAGGTATCTATCAAAGCATTAAGTGTTATAATTACTGTATTTAATGCAGATGAAAGTGAAAACCAACGTGTTGTCTCAACACGTTTTAGTCGATAGACTCGTTGTTTTGGATAATGTGTTTTCTGTGCATTATCAAACCAAGAAACTCTTTTTTTGCTACTTGTAATAAACGCGTATAAAGATTCTAAATTGCCGAATAAGTCAACAGCATTTTGCGAACTGCTAGATCCTTGAACAACTATTAAGCTCAAACGATGAGCATAACACCAAGTGTATGTAGCAGCAGGATTTTCTGCACACACAAGTGCTTGAAGGCCAGCATATTCTCCACGCATGTTGGCTGCACCATCATAACTTTGTCCTACTAAAAACCGTCTCCAATTCAGTCCATTTTCAGCACAGATTTCTTGGAAAATAGTAAAAAGATTTATTCCAGATGTTATAGATGATTCTTTCAAAGCTAAAAGACGTTCGTTAATTACTGGTATCGTTTTTTCAAAATTAACATAGCGAATAATAAATGCCAATTGCTCTTTTTTAGAAATATCAAAAGTAGTATCAATAGAAACACTAAAATATCGAGACTCTTTTAACTGTTTAATGATAACTAATTTGATACACGAAGCCACAGAATCGATAAGCTGATTTTGTCTCTCCCAAGACAAAAAGTTCACTTCTTTTCTTCCTTTGTTTTTTATTTTTTCAATATGTATAGCCAACGAAGGTGACCATTTGCTAATTAGTTCTGCTAAATCTTTAAAATTGCCTTTATTAGCCTCAGACCAATTCTCACGGTGACCTCTAAATGAAAGAGAATGTTTCCCGAGAAACTTTGTAATTTCTACCAATGTATTCACCACGTCTCTGTTTATGGCCACTTCTTCTCTTTTTTTTTCCTCCAACGATGGTAAAATGGCTACAGAGTTCTGTTTTAATTTAACAATTATTGACGCATTAATATGAAAACTTGATTTCTCATGAAAACTAATATCACCAAGTCTGTTCCAACCTTGAAAACCATCTTCTATCCAACTTTTTTGTGCATATTTATCACCAAAAAACATACAATATAAGCAAAATAATCGATTTTTTGAGATGGAGAAGGTCAACCAATCTCGATGTACACGATCATCACCAGTAAGTTTCCTCCAGTAATAATCTTCGGTAAAGCGATGACCATATTTTTGAGGAAAATTGTTTCCCGGTAGTTCATTCTTTTTAGGCTGGAAGGGGCCTTTAGAAATTATTGCCAACTTTTCGACCAGTGATAACTTTTTCTTAACAAATATAATTGGATCACAACTGCTCAAGTCTAAAGAGAGGGATTCTGAAAATATATAACTTTATAAATTTATGTTTGGTAAAAATGTATAATACATTTTTTTTAATTTAAGTAGGTATTAATAGATAATAATTTATACGAAAATTGAATATTATCATAACATTGATGAATAATTATTATTGTTGTATTTACCAATAGAGGAAGTCTCAATATTAAACGTTGAATCACTGTTCACATTTTGTTCTTTTGTTCTTTTTCTTGTGTAATAAAATTAAAGCAGAAAGACTCAACAGTACTCTATTATTTTACCCACCCACACACCTACCTACCCACCCACCCAATTTTCAAGGTAGTTCAATTGAACTATCCGAAGTACGTGTTCGGCGCCACTGTATATAGTTTTAAACACAGATTGTACTTTAAAGAAGTAATGCTAACCTAGCAAAAATCTCTGAAGATTAATTGAAAATTATTTCAATTATCTGCTTTGTATTATCAAATTATGTATATTATGATTAACATCTAAATTAATATTAGTGACGCTCTAAAGAAAAAAATAAGCTCAATGAATACATTAGGTATTAATTATTATAAAGTATACTGATTTGATCGACATTGTATTTATCAATATTTATACATGACATAGGTATTATAAAATAATATATAATATAATACAATAAATAGATAAATATTTAAATAGTATAAAAATATTTATTATTATTTATAATATTTATACAAAATGTTCAATATGGATAGAATAGAATAATTTTAATAACAACTTGTGAGGTCACATGAATACGTAAAATATATTGATAAGTGTAGTTATAACAAATAATTGAATGATACAAACAACTAAAAACTGTTATGAAATAATTAGTTAAATCTAAATAATGTTAATTAGTAATTACTAATGTAACCATGGTACATAATAATATGTATACAATAAATATTTTCTCTATTTACTGTTCAAAAATTAGTGTGGCAAGAACATGTTTTAAATAAATTATACTAAAAATCATTACTTGCCTGTGTGAATAAGTTAAAATGCATCAATTTAAACAATTTAATAGACTTTATAAACAAGTGAGCTATAATACATTTTGAAAAAATGACAAATAATTAACTGTTTTTGTTAGTACAATGTGCAAATATTGTAAACAAACATGCACATGACTAAACAAGCAATACATATTAAGGATTTCATGATCACATGTTCACATACTTTATATATGAGCAATAATGTTCAAAATTGATAGTTGAAGGGTAAAAATTCAAAAAGTGAAAAAGGTACCAAATTTATACTTGAATTGATAGTATTCAGTGTTCATTTGTGGGCTGTATAGTATTACTCTACTCATGAATAAATTTAGATTATCATCAATAATTTAATTTAAACTTATAAAAAAAAAATGTAATCGAGAAATTCAACATTTTTAATAATATAAAATATTTTATCATAAATAATAAAAATATAATGAAACTTATATTGGTACTGTAATACAATGAATTAAATTACAACTTTTAAACTTAAGTATGGAATTCAATTAATCAAGTATCATTATTTTATAATACATACATTTAATTTTAAACATAAGCAATATTCACAATACACAATGGGTGGTTTGGTGAGATTCATATAATATAGTAATTATTAGTATCACATAATCTGTTAATATCACATTGATAATAATAATGATAGATTTGCAAAAAAATGAATAAAAATAGTTGTTATATTAGAATACACTTCTATTGTTACCCACATCATGACTCAAAACACAATAATACAGATATATTACTTTTTTACAACAAAATACTTTTAAATATCTGTTATTTGTTAGTGATTTTTTAACAAACACAAACTACTGGGTAATTAATATAATCAATTTATTTTTTCCTGCTCAATTCCACTTGGAGAAATTCAGTATGTCACAAAAAACCCTTCTGACAAAATATTTAATATTGTTATTTTAAGTGTTTGATAAGTGAATATTATAACTGCATTTCAAGTTTGTAAATGCTACAAAGTCACAATAATAGGCCATATTATATATAATAATTCATAAGTATAAATTTATCAAAATGTTTATACGTTGTGTATATGTATTCATGTAGCAAAAACCACGGTTGACGTTGAAAATAACTAGTTATTATTAATTACAAAATATAAAGTAAATTTAGAATTTGAATTTGCATCATATATTATTTATTATTGAAAAGGTAAATTGGTCCCATATTTATTATAAGTATAAATAAATATTTTATGTTGCATTTATTATTCATACATTCTGTGGCACAACATTTCTAGGACAATGATTATCAATTAATTGTCACCATTCAAAGAGGAAATACAACTAACATGTAATCGAGTTAGATCCTACATAATATAATCCATATGAAGTAGTTAAAACATATATTTGTTGTTCTTATTTGAGACGAATAGTTAAATGTAATGAATTAAGTATTAACTACAACCCTAGCAATTATTACACAATATCTATTATGAATTCTATTGTACTTATATAAATATTCAAATAAAAAAAGTGATCTGCATTTGATCTTGCATATATAGAGTTATTAATTTAATATGCTCCAAAGATTCTCCTACGTGCTCCTTTTAATTTTTTAATTTATTATTGTAACTAGTACTTAGTACTTCAATACATATACCTAAGATCATTTTATAAGGATGACGTTGAAGTGGATGCGTCTGTTTGTTGGGATTGATTGAGGAAGGCCACATTGGATGCCTTTAATCTAGCCGTGTTTCCTTTTGTGATCAACATTCCTGGGTATGGAGATATACTAGGCGTAGAACAGTGGCTGTTGCTTAGGTCACACTGATCAAGCAAACGTAACAGTTCTTCGGCTGTCGGACCTCCATTTGGGATAGGTTCTGGTGCGAGACAAAATAATGGTAATTATTATTGGTAAAATTAAAACAATTAGAAATCGTGTAACAAAAGTGGTCTTGAATCAAACAAAACCTTTCTGTTATCTTACAAATAACAAAAAAAGACTATATGAGAAAGCTGCATCTTAGTTAATTATAAACACTGATTATGTTAGTTAAAACCTAAAATTATGCAATAAAACCTATACAATTTAACTGTATTCCAATATTTTTTATTTCAAACTTTCATGAATAAATACATTTATTAAGTACATAAGTACATGCATTAATTTATAACTGTTTTTATTTGAGTTGTTTTCAAATTAAAATTTTCAATCATTTAATAGTCTATGTATTGATTATATTTATTTAATGAAGATAAAAATATAATATTATTTAAAAAGTTTTCAAACAAATTTAGCTTTTGATCAGCTATATCAAAAAGTTGGTATTTATTTACATCAAACTAATAACAATGTATTAACAATTGCTTTAAACAATTTAAATTTTAATATTTTAAATGCTCCTTAAAATTAAAAATTGCATTATTATGCTGAAATATACAACTGTGTCATCTTAAATTAAATTTCTATGTAACCTATACAACTAATAATACAACTAATTTAATACAACTTGGCGAGATTGAAATGCAAATGCATGAACTTACGAGCCCTAATTATGTATATAAACTTTTGTACTCACGCAGACATTTGTTAGCTAAATCCAAAGCGGTGGTTAAGTCCCACATTTGAATAGCTCCATTACAATGTCCGGTCAATATGAACCGGCGAGGCCTTGATCCCATGCGACTAGAGCCTTCACATTCGTGCACACAAAAGCAAGTAATTATCGTACAATCCACAGCTCGAATTATGCAAACTCTAAAATTTAAACAAACAAAAATCAAAAATCAAATACACATAAGAAATACATAAAGGCACAATTTATTAGCACACAGATATAATTATGGCAATGGTACTAGTCAGTACTTTTATGTAACATTACCACCATGGCAGTATTTAAGGTAGAGGGCAACGGGATGCTGTTGTCTCAAGCGGCTAATATTCTAATATATTCAATATTTAATCCTCTCTAATATTACAAAAGGCACAAAAGCGATGTGAAACAAAAGGTATTTTTAAAAATTTGGATTGTTTTGGAAATTATTTCATGTCAATATTTTGGGATGATCTTCATGGACGTTTTAATGCTGAAAGTAAAAAGTTAAAGTCAATCGATATTGACTTGTATGAATCATTCATTCAATCCATTTCTAACCTTTGAAATGAAAATAAATTAGATATACAACAAATGAAGAAAAATTTTTTATGGTGAACTTAATCAATTTAAACATTTTTTAATAATTACATACTATACTATTTTAGATAAAATACATATAGAGTTATTCAAACAAAAAAAGGTATATGATAATTTAATATCAAAACATTCCTATTTTTTAAACTTAACTATGACATCCAAATCAGAAGTTTTCAAATGTGCTGAAAAACTATGTAAAATATTCAAAAACAACTTAGATAAAAGATTTTATAATGAATGTGTACAACACTTTAGGAAGTAATATAAAAAAGTCATACCGAATCTCTTAAAGATAAATCTCTAAGAAATATCCAGTACATTAGTATTATGATACAGTTCAAACATTTACAAACAATCTATCCTTATGATGGCATTGAGCTTTGAATGTTTTGTGAACACTAGTAACAAATTGTTCTTCGTAAAGATCATTTTCAACCCTGAGAAGAATCAAAACTTAACGTTCATCGGTAATGAATAAGGATCGCCTAAATGCTTCGTCTTCATTAAACGTTGAAAGACAAAAGTAATCTAA